CAATATTCAAATTGTACAACATGAATATTATTCAAATAGTTCATCAGGAACTTTATTATTAACGTTCATAACGAGAATCATTCAAATGATTCCCCATGAATTTAAGACAGTTCGTTCATCATTAAAATTCGTCAAATTGTTCATCGCGAATAATATTCACACACTTCATCACGAACAACAGTCAAATGGTGAAACATGAATATTATTCAAAAAGATCATCATGAATATTATAAAGATCGTTCATAGTGAACATTAATCAAATGATTCCTCATGAATATTAGTGAAATTGTTCATCATGAAATTTGGTCAAATAGTTCATCGCGAATAATATTCACCCACTTCATCAAGAACAATATTCAAATTGTACAACATTAATATTATTCAAATAGTTCATCCTGAACATCAGTAAAATCGTTTAAATTGAACGCTACTCAAATGATTCCTCATGAATATTAGTCAAATAGTTCATCATCGAAATTCGTCAAAACTTTTTTCTTGATTATCAATCAAACATTTATTCAAGTTTATTCAAAGTAATGCTTGTCTTTGAAGTTTTTTGCAGTAGGTTTGAATTGTTTTTCTTTTAGATCTGTTAAAAACAAGGCATTTTGCAACTCGCAAGAACTGTTTGCGCTACAAATATTTCAAATAATTTACACTTTTTATTCAATGTCATTGCTTGTGTTTTGATAGTTGCACTCTTGTTCCACCGAAAATATGGTAAGTCTTAAGATGTGAATCACCCTAGTGTTTCAATAAGCCCCTGTAAAAAAAAAAAAAAAAAACTTAAAAATCAGGACCCCAATTGGGACGCCGGTCGCGTGAATCATCTAGATTAGGGTATGGGGATAATAGTTTCACAGGAAAGATTCCAGTTTCTTCGAAACTTCCGAACAGGACTGGATGAAACATACCCAATACTGTTCGTTTCCGTATGTTACAAAACTGCAGGGACCACCCGGTCGAAAAAAACAGGTTCTGAAAAAAAAAAAACTTTATTAGTTTCGGAACATGCATGAACGATTTTTTTGTAGCGCCGAATAAGCGGAGAGCAAAAACAAAAAATTCCACAAGTTTGTTTCGCTGGTTCATATGACATAAGACACACATAACATCCACTTCAGCAACACAGCAACCTATGTGCATCCTATTTCCATTGATTACCGGGCAAAATGACTAAGCGAAAATAATTACGTATACGCCTCCGGACCAAAAATCAGTCTTGATTGGAAGATGACTTCAGAAACAAAAAAAGAGGGGAAGCGTAATAAAGCGACCATTACCAAACTCATTGAAGCAGTGATATACTTTGAAAACAAAGGCAAGTCAAGTAAGAGTCACAACTGCAGGTGGAAAATAGAAAAGGCCGGCGCCCACCCAAGGAGGTTAACAAAAAAGGATTCGGGCACCGGGGGGGCTATCCACCGAGGGAATTTCTACAATAAACACAGAAATACGAGAACATTGGTAGGCGCAAATCTAAAAAGCGGGGAAAAACCGAAAAAAATGTAAAGAAAGATCTTCAAGTGCAAAAGAACGGTGGTGCAGGAGGCGGGGGGCACAATTTCTATGGGTCAGGGGAAAGGTTTTGTTGTAATAACCCCACTCCCCCCCCCACCCCCCCCCCACCCCCCCCCCCCCCGCCACACAGAAGCCCATTATTCATATCAGAAGAAAAACATTAACCAAGATATATCAATAACAGGATGCTCAAACCAAACAAACAAAAGACGAAATAAAACAAATTAAATTCACCAAGGGGGGGTCCCGGTTTGGCCGGAGACGCCCACAACATACAAGAAACAAGTAAACATACAAGGATAAAAGATAAAGAGGGAACAAGAATAAAAATAATGTAACAAAAAATGAAGAAGAAACATAAGAAGGATGTAAAAATATAGATCCTCAAATGCAGATATACCACATCAATTACATGTGAATTTGGCGATCTTCGCCTCAGGAAGTCCTTAGACACTCCTCTCTCGTCCCCCTCACAAAAACGATTTAGTAAATAAAAACTTGTGTACAAAAATTTAGCCTTCTTATAGAACCGATTAAACCAAAACACAAATAAATGAGGTATAACTCTCTCGTGGTTCAATGAGTGTGTTAAGTGCTCCGCTAACTACCCCCCCCGACTTTCGGGCCCCTCCCTCGCACACTTCAGAGAAAATTATTGCACAAAATATTCCAAAAAATAAAGATCCCAAAAAAAAAAGAAACTCGTTGAATCCCCCCCCCCCCCCCCCCAGTCAAAAAAATAAAAAAGAGTCAATAAACAGCAGTCATCGGAATCCTTCAGTATAAAAAAATGAAAATATAGTGAGATCGGAAATCGAAATTATTCAGTCCAGAAGCAGCTCATCACACTCAACTTTTGTCTACACAGTTTTGGAGAATTAGGCTTATCGACGTAGGACCTATTTGAATATATGAAAATACATTCCTACGATTATTGGCTTCTAGCTGTGATCAAGAACCATGATGTAATTAAATTAGTTTTGGAATTCAATAATCATGATTTAAGTTTCATGATGTTTGGCGTTTTTCAACACCAAGAATTTGCAACGTAATTGATGGTTTCAACGGTAAACGAATATGCACTCAAGTCAACGACACATCATCGGACTGAGTATTATAAGCTTACGAGTTGTTACGGCGGGATTTGTAGAATAGTATATTCAACGATGATCCAGAGAGTCTATTCGAACATGTTAACGGCTGAACGCGTCCAATAATACTCTTAGAATCAGTATCGGTGTTGAAAACTCACAGAACTATTTATTTCGGTGATCTATTCACCACTAAATTAAACAGCCTAAAGCAACGAATGTCTTCAAAAATGATCATATTATTTTCTACATTGACAGTCAGTAGTATGACATGTTTTGGACTTCGTCAATGAATGTAATTTGATGTTGGAAAGTAAACACACTTTTGAAACATCTGAGAGCACGTCGTATACAATTCTGTGAAGTACAAAGTATCCTTTAATCACGTTTCTTGGCTAGCAAAATGAGTTTCAGGAAAAAGCCAACTACCACTCATGACTGATTAAGCGAAAAATGGATGGTGACACATTCGTATCAGATATGATCACGGCTCCAACAACCATCTTTCACCTTAACAAAATACTGAACCTCGTTGACGGAGAACTAACATTTTTAATAAGAATCTGCAATGCAAAAAGTATGAATAAAACGCAATAATTTGAATTTGCAGCTAACTATTACTTTACCGATATAAAACTGGGAAATTTAAATCAATGTTTTTGCAATGAAATATAAATCATAATTATATAAAAGGAGGGGTTTATAACTGGACATAAACTCATTAGTGTTTACTGTTGTGATCAAAAATATACATTCACAAATTTTTAGCATTATTAAATCGATTGATCATATGAAATGCTGCAGCAGGTTTATCTTCTGGTACCATATGTCCTGCACCTCGAACAGTAGTATACACCAGATTTGATACATTCGCTGATAACACTTTCCAATAACCACCAATTTGTTTAGTACCATCTTTTTCAATATATAACCATGGTGTACGTGTAGATATAGTCTAGAAAAAAAAGTTTATTTGTTTAGCTGATTACAATATATGTAGATTTGTATACTTAATTTCCAATTATACTTTGTTTGTACAGGACAAAATGTCTCATTCTGTACAAAAAAAGAGACATCAGTTGACCAGCAGAGTGTCTACAAGATTAGCTTCGATATAACTTCAAAGCTTCACTAGAGATCATAAAGAGAAGTCCCTAGAAAACATGATTGACGACCAGATCTGGACGAGAATGTGAAGACCAAATAATCAAATTTTCGAAGATCTTAGAATAAAGACATGCATTCAAGTGTCTGTAAATAGACCTTGAGGCGTCATTTGACTCTGTCGATTGTGAGGTTCGATGATAGTCTCTGTCAATGAAGTGCATACCAGAGAAGTAGATTAACATTGTACAGGCTCAGTACTCGAACAATATTGGTCATCATTGGAGTCGATTAACTCAAGTGTAGTCCGTCAGCATAGTTCACTCTCTAAATGCTTAATCAACTTTGTCATGGATAGGCTCTACAGATGACACACTCATACCCGACTTTTCGGGAGTTGATCTTCTATTCAAAATTCACTCACTCGCTTACATTACTCAGTCAACATCCAACCAACAATCTTATTGTCTAAACTCCACTCAAACCATAATGTTAAGTGACCTCATTCATTGTTTTCAATAACGAACTGCCTCACTAAAGATAAAATGTATTTTTGTATAAATCATTTTTGAAATTCATTCATTAAAACACTCACACACACCTACCGTCAAGTTTTAATTATCGACGAAC